TAAGGAAGCTTGGATCTGCTGCACATCCTTCAGCTCATCTTGCACGGAACTGCTGTCGCCACCACCGGCAGCCGAACCCCATGTTACAACCGATCCGTCGACAAGAATGGCAGCAAAAGCACTGCCCGATGCTTGGATATGCTGCACGTTTTGCAGCTGGCCTTGCACAGCACTACTGTCACTACCGCTACCTACAAAACCAGCAAGACCCCAGGTCACCACGGATCCGTCGCAAAGAATTGCAGCAAAAGCACTGCTAGAGGCTTGGATATGCTGCACAGTCTTCAGCTGATCCTGCAAGGCACGACTGTTGCAACGATATGCGGCAGCACCCCAGGTCACGACAGATTCATCCTCAAGAAGGGCAGCAAAAGCAGCGCCAGAGGCTTGGATCTGCTTCACGTTTTTCAGTTGGTTCTGCACAACTCGACTGTCGCCACCACACTCAGCATTTCCCCAGCTCACAACCGATCCATCGTCGAGCACGGCAGCAACGCTGACGTTAGTGACTTGGAGCTTCAGCACATTCTTCAGCTGATCTTGCACAGAACTGCTGTTTCCAACAATATGGTGACCCCAAGTCACAACCGACCCATCACCCAGAATGGCAGCGAATGCACCAGGAGAGCTGTGGATCCGCTGCACATTCTTCAGCCGACTCTGCACCGCGCTGCTGTCGCCACCAAAGCCAGCATGACCCCAGGTCACAACGGATCCATCCCCGAGAATGGCAGCAAAAGCGCATCCAGTGGACTGAATTTGAACTCTGTTTACATGCAAGGTCAGCAAATCACCGTCCTGAAGCTTGGCTTTCTTAGTCAGTGTGCATCCTTCCAGAACGACTCCAGAGGAGTCCAGCAGCCGTCCTTTCGGGACTCCGAGTGCGATCTGTGCACGTTGTGTCAGCGCCGCCACAGATTCCTCCAAGCCCGCTTGCACAGTAGCTGTTTTGCCACTGAGCAGTGAAACTTCCACGCGAATCGACATGCTCCACGCGGGAAATCGTAAGCCAGAGCGGCTGAAGAAACGTGGCGCGAAGGCTCTCGAAACCTGGAACCTTGCATGGACACTGAAGCCCAAGGACAAACCCAGGATTTTTATGCATTAAACTAACCATAGGCCCCGACAGTAGTTCCTTTCTGTGGTTCGTATTTAGAATCCTATAAGGTAATCCCAAAAAGGAACTACTTTGGGGCCTGTGGGTATGGGTGCAGTATGGAACTAGGATACCCAGTAACCTGAGAATAAAAAGGCCTCTCTTTTTGGGTAACTTTATAAGGAACCTAGGACTACAAAAAGGGAATAAGGGTACTACTGGGCATCCTAGGAAAGGATACGACAAAAAACTTTGAGGTCTCGGGCTATAAGTCCTCGATTCTCTACTGGCGGGTCGGGGGACTTAGTAAGGGCTCCTTTAAAGGGGATGCTAAGGGTTCCTTTAAAGGGCTCTACAAGGGTAGTATAGGGTTTAGGGTTTAGGGTTCAGGGACTTACTACTTACTAACTAACTACTTACTAAGTTAGTAAGTAGTTAGTAAGTAGGCTTAGAAGTACCCCAAAAGGGACCCTAATTGGGGTTATGGTACTTATAAGTCCCTAAAATAACCCAGTTACTAAGTCCCCCTGACCCTCGAGGTAAGCCCTAAAATCCCAAGCCTTGTGTCTCTGGGACCCGTATCTTCTAAACTCCAAAGCCCTAAACGCCGAACCCTAGCTTAAGCCGAAATAACCTACCTTGTGAAGGACATATATAAGGATATCATAATCAGGAACCCTAAAATGGTATATTTTTCAGAGTCAAGGTAATCCTAAACCCATCTACGCAATGTAGGGGCCTTAATAATCAGAATAAGGCTTTGGGGTAGATTATATTACAATCATCATAAGGAACTCCCCAAAACAATGTAGGTAATTATTTAGGCCCCTATGTCCCAAAGGGTCCAAAGTACCTGTATAGTAGACTGTAGGGTTTCCATATTAGGAATTACAGTTATGATTTGGGGAAGTATCCCCCATAACAATACCTAGGACCCTTTGGGATATTAACCCCTCACCACCACTGCTCCGAAGCCTCAAACTCGACTCTCGGGTTCCCCGCATCCCCAAAAGTGTCGTCGTTCAGCGCATCCGTGCCGTCCTTGCGGAGCTCTTTTTAAGGATTTCGGGTTTTCTCTGAAGGATTTTAATTTCTTTTTAAGGATTCAGGCTTTTTTTTGAAGGATTTAGGGTTTAGGGTTCAAAATTTAAAGGAGGGGCTCTTAAAGTTCGGTTTCTGAGCGGTTGCATAGCGAGTGGGGTTTCGCGGTGATTTCAGGCTGAAGGTGAGAGGATCGGGGAAACTCTCGCTAGAAGCCCGAAGTCCTCGATGCTGATCCTGAAAAAGCCACAGTACCAGGACCTCTTTGTGCCCTCAAATAGGGGTATATATGGCCCCAAATAATGGGCATTTAGGGTCTAATAAAGGGTAGATGGAGGGTCTAGGTAGGTTGCAGAAAGGTTGTCAAGACCGTGCACACTGATTGGGGCAATGATCCTTCAGCTACGGCAACTAAGCTCGCCCTGCGGCTTCAAATACCTGCTACGCTCATGCATTTTCTGGGGCGATACGTGGTTATACTCGATCATCAGGCCTGTCTTACGGACGCCACTACGTACAGATTTGATTTTTCCTCGAGAGGATCATAGTAGCCCCCTCGGCTTGCGGACTGCGAGTTGCAATGCCTAAATTAAACCCTAAACCCTAAACCCTAAGACCCTAAAACTTTCCCTAAACTTGGCCCTAAACTCTAACCCTCAACCAAAAACTTAATGCCGAAGCCCCTAAACCCCTTGTCCCTGTGCGGTCAAGGGTTTGCCAGATCTTCCGCCCTTAGAGGCGCAAAGCAAAACATTCTTCCTGAACCCTTAAAGTAAAAGCCAGAAGTTGGAACATGGTTTCAGGGTATTATACCTTATAATTTACCATAAAGGGTTTAGGATAATCATATTCCAACTTTCTGGCTTTTACCTTATACCCTACCTATCGTCTCCATTGTAGTACCTTCTTTTGTTAACCAAAATTTATATTAGAGGATCCTAATCATAAGATTAGTTAGCCCAACCCTCTGTCGTGGCTGGTCGCCGGGCTGTCTCACGGCTTATGCCGACTGTCACCCGACGTGTTGGCAAAATCTGCCGACGTCGGCGCGTCGGCCCTGGCTCTTGGCTCTGCTCAGTCGGAGGCCGACGTTGCTCCGCTAGTGGAGGACGACGAGCTCGACGACGAGTCGACCGCTTCGGGTGCTTCGACATCGACAGTTTCGGTCGGGAAGCACCGCCGGCATAGCGCAGGTTCAGGTGGAAGATCAGCCAGCCGATAGAACTGGCGGACGCCGTACGGCCAGCCACATTTGGCCTGCCAGTCGGCCCGCTCCGTCGTCGCCTCGTCGATCCCAGCTTCGTGCGACAGTTCATGACGAACTTGGGCATCGAGTCGCCGACCGAAACTATAGGTGTGCCCTACCCCCCCATAGGCCTGACACGACTTATCAGCCCTGAAGGCGTTTATACCCATGTGTCCCAAAACACCCCGAGGCTGTCGAACAGAAGTCATGTTACGTGTCCGGGTGGTTATCCTTGGTTTCCCAAGCCTTTATGAGCCTGCATGTCAACCCATGACGCATGAACTCCCGCTCATGTCTGGAAAGGCATTAATATGCGGATCCCTATTGTTGTCCTTGTTGCAGCAGAGAAGCTTTACCAAGCGCGGGTCTACATTAAACTTCAGAGTCCTCAACACTCATCCAAACCGATAAGCACTTAATCCCCAAACCCATCACAAGGGCCTAGACACCCCACACAGCAAGCGCGGAAGCTAAGAAGGGGTCGGCTTCAATGATGTGGTGGAGTTCTTAAAGCAAAGGAGCCCAGGTCCAATTCTTAACGCCCCCATATCAATCCCTGCAAACCCCTTAAAGGAACACCCGTCGAATACATTAAACCCTACACAAACCTTGAAGGACAATTTGAAAGAACCTGTTCAAGTTATTAAGGCTGCGATATGCCGCGATACTACACGCTTTCAACATCCTCAAAGGAACCCTACTTGAATTCCTTAGCCACTGCGGTCAACCCTGTGGAGCCCGGAAAAGGACACCCTAAACCCAGACCCTATCGTACCCTTTTTGAACTCGCAGTGGAACCCTTTACAGAAACCCTTCATTCGTCCTGCTCCTGCTCTGAAAACTCATAGTCACCGTCACCCTTTGGCATGTCAGCCGCATTCCTCGCTCCCTCGAGACGTACACCTTAGCCAGAGCAGGGTTCACCCATAAGCTCCATAGTAGTTCCTGTTTGGGGTTCATATGGTTGATGGTATAAATCCTGCATGAACCATAATATGGAATTTACCGTCATTCCTGTAGTTTAGGGTCCTTAAGGTAATGCAGGATTCATATCAGTACTATTCCTTTTTGGGGTTCATAGTTAGAATCCTGTAGGGAAATCCCAGAAAGGAACTACTATGGAGCCTTGGGGTAGGGTTTACGCTCTCGCAACTCGGACATGCCAGACGAGGTTCTTGGTGCTAAGTCGGCGAACTGAGAGACTAGAGGGCCTACCCGTTTAGGATTTTCCCTTTAGCCGCAGGTAAACCGCCCTACTCTTCGCTCTGCAGTTTGCAGAGCAAAGCCTCATGTCAGAAACATCACACGAAACTCCTCACACTCTGAGCTCAGGCACACACGCTCGAAGTTATCTAGGTGCAAAGGGCCAGAAGCCTGTGCAACGAAATACACGACAACCCCCCCCAATCCATGAAGAGCTCCGAGCGAAAAAACATGGGTGGTTGTCAAAATTCGGGTTCCTTTTGGGTCCTTCATATAATACAGCACCTCTTATTTAGGGCACCCGAAAAGGGACCCTAATGTTGACAACTACCCATATCTCCCTAAACCCTTTAAAAAGAACCCTTATGGATCCCCTTAAGGAACCCTTTAAAGGCACCCTAGGGACCATGATTTTGACAACCACCCACATCCAAACCTCGAGCAGGCTACCCTTCAACACGCAGACGACTGCAGGACCTTGCCGGGTTCCAACTGCCTGCAAAGGTTCCTTTAAGGGTTACTATAACGGTGCCTTTAAGAATTACTATAAGGGATCCTTTAAGGGTTAATATAAGGGTTCATCTACTAGACCTACCTAGAACTGCATCTACTAGACCTACTTAGAGGATCATGGGGCTTAGTAAGTAGGTTATAGTTGGGGTTATAAGTCCCCTAAGTGGGGTTATCCTAATTATAACCTACTTATCACCGTTTTCCTGTAAAGGGAACTCCAGAAAGTTGGAATATGGTTTCATGGTAGGATACCCTATAATTTGCCATAGAAGGGTTAGGATAATCATATTCCAACTTTCTGGCTTTTACCTTAGACCTACCCAGAGAACCCAATACCCCTTAATTAAGGAATATATACCTTAAATCCAAATATTGGCGCTCTCATAATTTAAAGTTGTATTCCTGAATTAAGGGGCATTGGGATCTCTGGGTAGAGCAAACAACATCGGTAACGCCCGTGCTCCGAAGCCTTCGGGTAAGAACTCGGAACCGGAAACTGAAAACCTTCTAGCCAAAAAGCCCGATGCATGTCAGCATGCTTCGCCTACCGGGATTGAGCCCCCAGATGGCTACGGCTACGGAAACCACCAGCTGAGGTTGTGGGTTAATTAGGGTTTAGGATTTAGGTTGTGAGCCCAAGGTCTGCTGGTTTTTAAGGTTAGGGTTTAGGGTTGAGGGTCTTGGGGCCAATGTCTTGGGGTTCGGTGACAACGGGGTGGGGTTCTTGCGTCTCTGGAGCTGTACTGGGAATTGGAATCTGCCACGAAAGTAATTCCAGCCTGACTTTGGGGTAACGAAGCCCAAAGGTATTTACTATGCGGGGCTTTGGAGCCTGTGCATAAGGCACAACTGCATATATGTTGCTGATATCGCAGGCCGGGCTAGTTGGGAAGCTGATAGGCTGATATGTCTGCAGCTGGGGTTCCGGTTTGATCTATGAGTTTGCGCTGCATGCTAAGCCCCCAACCTACCGAGCTATCCTGACTTCAGCAAGTCTGAAAGCTGCAATATGGGGTTGGGTTCCGAACATAGGGGACCCCAATATAGTGCCCGAAATAGTAGGATCCTCATTTTAAGGACACCAAAATAGGACACCCTTCTTTTTCGGAAACTCTAAACCCTTATAGAGCCCTTTAAAGGAGCCCTAAAGTACCCCCAATTTTCGGAAACTCTACACCCTTACATGGGTATCGTATCGACTTATGAAGAAGCCCCGGAAGCTTCCTAAAAGGTCATGTTCTCGCAGGATCGCGCCACTTGATCAAACCAGCTTGCTAAAGTCCGACCAAAGTCAGAGATCCCAATAACCCTTAATTAAGGAAGATACCTTAAATCATGATATGAAAGCCTCTATATTCAAGGTGTATTCCTTAATTAAGGGATATTGGGTTCTCTGGGAAGTCGAACCCTCAATGCGCTGCCTCATCAGATTGCCCATGATCCCCCAAAACTCAGGAATCTCCTGCAATCACAAGACGAAGCAGTGAGAAACCTTGTAAACTAATTTCGGCATATGCCTCAATTTAGGAGCATTGGGTTGCTTGAGTATGGCCAGAAAATTATGTGTGCTACACCCTGAGCCATAAGACAAACCACTCCCTGCCCACAACTTGCTTTGGGTTCTTGGGTGGCGAGTTTTACAGGACAAGTTGATCAGGTCTTTGGGCGTAAATTGGGGTTTGGGCAGGTTTAGGGTGAATGTGTTACCATGTTACCAGGCGACGATATCGGGGAGTTGTTCTGTCCTGGTAGGGCTTGGGGTTCGAGGCCTTCTGCTTTGGTGGCTTTCTTTGTCTCTGTGAACCGCGCAAGCCGTGGAGACTGTGTTGGAGTCAATGAGCATTGAACAAAACGTCAAGCCTGTGGGTTTTTGGACACTCACTCTCGGACAAGCCTGGCCTGTGGGTTTAGGGTTTACCGTAAAATCCCAAACCCTACTTTTTGTGGGTTCTTACTATAAACCCTAATATGGAATTTATGGGAGCCCTACAAAAAAGTAGGTTTTGGTAGCTTAACCCAAAGGGTCCTATGTACTGTTATGGGGGATACTTCCCTAAGTCATAATAATAATTCCTAATATGGAAACCCTACATTCTACTATATCGGTACACAGGACCCTTTGGGTAAGGTAGCGGTCCGGATGGGATGTCAGCCTAAGTGGTGGAGGCGACACATGCATACGGCGCACGGTGCCGGAGCGTAGAGTCATGTGGAAAAGATACTACCTATAGTCTCCATTGTAGTTCCGTTTTTTTGGTTAACCAAAATCTCTATTATAGGGTCCTAAGCATAAAACTGGATAACCAAAACAAGGAACTACAATGGAGACTACGAGTAGTTGCCAAGGGGAAGCAAGCCACAATGCGTGATCCTGACGAAGGGTCAGCTTCTCAGCGAAGCCGCACCTTGCGCCTGCCCGAATCCACCCATGCACCTTAAATCCCAAACCCTAAACCCCTAATCCCCTAAAGCCCTAAACCCCTAAAGCCTAAACCCCAAACCCTCTCAACCCCTAAACCCGTAAAGCCCTAAACCCGAAAATCTAAACCCTCGGGTTTCCCGCTGATCGAATCCCAAACCTCAGCCTTCCGTAACTTTTCGAGTCGCGGTTCACGGCTCCTTTTGCCTCTTACGCTTGGGCAAAAGTCGAAAGTCCCGAGACCGAGGCTGCAAATCGTGAGACAATCTGGGCGGCTGAGCCAGCTGCAACTCAACGAGCTCCTATCACCCACAGCCTAATGCAGGGGGCCTGAATAGTTACCAATACTATTGGTGGGGGTTCCTGCATATGGTTATAGTAAGAATGTACCCCCAAAACCCTATTCCAATTATACAGGCCCCTAAAATGTATAGGCAAGTATCCTACATTATCAACATAGAAACCATGGAATCCAGCAAAGGATCTGGGGTGGAGGACAGAATCCTGAAGCCATTTAGCCAAAGGCCGACAAGTGTCGGCACCATGCGAGATTCATCAAAGATCCATAAAGAATGGTTCTACACTCTAAGACTCTAGGATCCAAACCCAAACCGGATCCCATCTTACAATGTCACAACTGTCGCGGTAATAGAGAGCACGTAAGACTTGGAACAGGATTCGGATATGAGGTACAAACCTTTAGGTTCCTGGCTGGGCGAAATCACAACATCGCATGTGGCACCTACAGAAAACCGAGCTTCAAAGCAAAAAGCACTCGGTATAGTTCTTTAAAGACTTAACCTAGGGCTTTCCTCTGCGAGTCGCAGCCACCCATGTGAAGAACCCGGGCCGCTGTTCAGCTGACCTTCGCTCGGGTTTAAGGTTTATAGGGCCTGAGTGGCTTAGAGTGTAGAGATTTGGGATTTAAGGTTTAAGGGTTTAGGGCGTAGTGGCAAACTCTCGGGCACCCTTACACGACCACAACCACCACCACACCACCACCACCACCACCACCACCACCACCACCACCACCACCACCACCACCACCACCACCACCACCACCACCACCACCACCACCCACCACCACCACCACCACCACCACCACCACCACCACCACCACCACCACCACCACCACCACCACCACCACCACCACCACCACCACCACCACCACCACCACCACCACCACCACCACCCCCACCCCCACCCCCACCGCCACCGCCACCGCCACCGCCACCGCCACCGCCACCGCCACCGCCACCGCCACGGCCACGGCCACGGCCACGGCCACGGCCAATGCTGCTCGACGACACTGACGACTACAGACAACTTCTGGTAACTTTTACGTAAAAAATGTTCAGGTTCTCAAGACAGCTCAAGGACTCCTTACGTGATTTTCGACGCGCCGGGTTTAAATTTCCCAGCGATACAGGATCCCAGGAGCAGCATCGGCAGTACCAAATACGTGCTTGTTGCTGGCAGGTCCTGACCCTACGAAATCCGGTAGGCCCTATAGCCTATAGACCCTAAACCTGCACACGCGCCGGAGTCAGACGCTTCCTATAGTCTCCATTGTAGTTCCTTGTTTTTGGTTAACCAGTTTTATGGTTAGGATCCTATAATGGAGTTTTTGGTCAACCAAAAAAAGGAACTACAATGGAGACTATCGGTAAACCCTGAAGTTAGGAGGCCTCGATCCGTCAAACCCTGCTGCCAACCGTATCTGAGCGGCATCCATATTCTGCTTGCTGCTTGGAGCGGCTGCCGTTTTCTTCTTCCTGGGCATTTACAGGTACAAGGTTTCAGTTTAGGGTCTAATTAGGGCTTAGGGACTCAGTTTCATGGGTCGATTGGTGCTCCCAGTTTTTGCGGCACAAGCTTACTATCTTCAGCACAGCATTATAGACCGACAGTTTCCATGTGCACATGCAAGTTTGCGTACGGTGAGGCTCCGAATAAAACGCCAGCTACAACCCAGAGAACCCAATATCCCTTAATTAAAGAATATACCTTACATAATAGGGGCCTTAATATTAGGATTTAAGGTATATTCCTTAACTAAGGGGTATTGGGTTCTCTGGGAATTCCATCGCCCAGGCGCAGTCCGCTGCTGTCCACTTGGCCTTTCTCCAGACCTGCTCTTCCCACCGCATATCGATTTACTTGGAGGGTCGGGGGACTTAGTAACTGGTTATTTTAGGGACTTATAAATACCATAACCCCGATTAGGGTCCCTTTTAGGGTACTTATAAGTCTACTTACAAACTACTTACTAAGTCCCCCGACCCTCCAAGTACAGGTTTAGGGTTTGGGGCTCCCAAAGGGTCCTATGTACCGATTTAGTAGAATGTAGGGTCTCCATATTAGGGATTACTATTATATGACTCAGGGAAGTATCCCCCATAATAGTACATAGGATCCTTTGGGGCTTAGTGTTTCCCATCAGTCTAAACGAACTCTTAGCCTCCAAGCCCAAGGGTTCTTGCTTTCGGCCTCCCCAGTTCTTAGGGGTAGTTAATAAGTAGACTTATAAGTACCCTAAAAGGGACCCTAATTGGGGTTATGGTACTTATAAGTCCCTCAAATAACCAGTTACTAAGTCCCCCGACCCTCCAAGTAGTTCTTAGGGCTGACGGGCTGAAGGCGTCCCACAAAGCAGAGTAGAAACGAAGGTGACAGTCCCGGCATGCATCACAAACCGAGCCCTAAACCGTTTCGTACTACGAGTACGTAATGATCTTCGTCATACAGAGTTCTGGATAATAAGCACGCAAGCAAAGAACGCCGTAAAATCCTGCAAAGCTCGTCAAAATCTTTTCCAACCATTAATATAGAAGTCGTTATAGTCGCCCTTTACTGATGTAGGGGCCTTGATAACTAGAATGGGGTTTTGGGCTCAATAATATTGGTAATTACTTGGCTTTCTAAATTATTCAAGCCCAGGTCGCTTCAGGTGTTGACTATTGAGGGGTGTGGAGGCTCTGCACGACTGATTTTCCTAGCTCAGACAGAACGCTCTTCCTTATTTGTGCAGTTTCCTAGGGCAACTGAAAAGAGTAATTAACCTGTGGGATCATGGCCCAAAAAAGCCTACGCTTCTACCAAGTTTCGCATGGCCCAGGGGCTTGGGGGTTATGTGAGGGTTCAGGGTTCAGGGGTACCTTCTCAAGACCGTCCTATGTTGAAGCGGCCTGACTAGATATGGTATATTACATTGTCTTGCAGTTTAGATGAGAACAATACCGGCTCATATTCCCAATTCAATATATGATATTATATATATATATATATATGGGTGCCTTAGCCTTAGCAACTAGGTTTGAGTGGGGCGGGGGGTGAAAGGATGGTGTATGGTATGTAGCATAAACTAGAACAGGTACTCCTGCTGCAATTTGCCGGGAACGCACACGGATACTCTAGACTCTAGCAATTATCAGACCTCTGAGTTATTTAGATCTTGGGAAGGGCTTCAGATCAGGGAAGTCACAACAGGCCCGGCTCGATCTGAACTCAACTACCAAGTCTCTCTCTTTCTCTCTTTCTCTCTAACCCAAAACCCAAAAGCCCTGAAACCCCAAACAGCCCTGCAAATCCCCCAAAAAACCTTTTCTCCCTCTCCAAGGCATGAGGAGCAGTGGGGGTCCCCAAGCCGCAGGCCACCCTTTATGTGTGAGGGCTTTGAAGGATGGTGCAAGGATAGGTTTAGGGTTTAGGGTCTCGGGTTTAGGATAAGTGCTCGTTCCAGACTCTTTCCGAATCCCAAACCCTGAACCTCGCTCTCGCGCTCTCTCTCTCTCTCTCTCTGTGATCTCTCAGAGTTGGAGCTCGGAACATCCGTCTACCGGACAGTATACCTTTGTTTCCACGATCTTGCTACTACGACTCAGCTGGCCTGATGGTGGTGCCGGTTTAGGGTGCTTTGACCCGCGGATTGTAAGCCGACGACCTTGTGTGCGATCCAGGGCATGCCCAGCCAGCTTTGCTTTCAGCTTTCTTTTCAGCTCCTGTGAGACAGCTCTTGGTTCGTAGTCGGGCTGGGCTGTGGAGTTGGGATCCGGCCGTACCCTTGTACTTAGTTCCGTAGAAGCTTCGCTGGTAGAAGTGAACGCAAGCCCCAAGCCATACAAAGCGCGTTGGAATTGGTACCTGAGCCTCGCAGCCGCGGCAGTCTGCGCCCTATATGCCCAATTATCTGTATTTGTAGGTGGTTACTATTCCGTAGAGCTTCTCTAGATATACCTGTCTATATCTATAACTGTCCGTCTAAATACGGATAGGTAGATAGATAGTATCAATAACCAAGCGGATAAGCCGCTGTGTCGGATACTGGACTCTTAGACGGAATTGGGACTTCCTCCCGCTCGTGCTATGCCACCGTGTCTTCTTTTTCGGCATGGCAGGTCCAAGGACCCGGTTGACAAAGGCGAGCCGTAAACCCTTAGCCTCATACTTTAGCGCGTAGCGTGCACTGCCTCCCAGAGTGCCGGTTACAAGGCTCAGTTACTGCATCCGGTTGATGATAAAGATCCTGCATCACCTTAAGGACCCTAAAGTATGGGATTATATTCCCTATTATGGGTCATGCAGGATTTGTATCATCAACCGATCGCACTACAGCGGTCCCAGCACCCTTACCCCAACAGTTATGCTCACGCCCTGCAACCTGAGCCGGCTTATGAGATCTTGCAACCTAAAACCGACTGTTTTGTTGATGATCACGGCTCTGACGGTTGGTCGCTGAGTTCCCGAGCCCCAAAACCTTAAACTGCGGATTAAGTATATAATAAAAAATACAGCGATTGGGGCAGGAATCTGCTATGCACACCCCGAAAAAAATTCTAAGGTTGACTACTCAGCTTCTAAGGAGCAGCGTCCTCGCGCGACAGGGCCTTGCCAGCAGAGGGCCCCTCCTTCGCTGGGGTGTCAACCTGTCACGTACGAAAACAGCCCAATTCGCCTTTTTTAAGCTTAGGAATGAATACCTACAGCCATAACTAACTTGTTAAGAAGGCCTGAACAACACATCTTGTAGTAAATGAACATACAATGAGAAAACGATAAGACATACCTATAGTCTCCATTGTAATTCCTTTTTTGGTTAACCAAAATCTCTATTATAGGGTCCTAACCATGAAACTGGATAGCCCAAAAAAGGAACTACAATGGAGACCATAGGTATTACCGGTACCGAGTTACGGGTTGATTGGGCTCTCTGGCGAGCTGCAAGCTGGACCGAAGGTATCAAGCCGGAGTGTACCCTACTCCGATTGAGAATTCAGCGATCGAGGTCCCTTGCCCCGGTGAGAGCTTCTTCAAGCGGATGCCGGGAGTCTCTGGGCATGCAAGGCATCACGACTCCCATTTAAACAGAATCCTGATTACGGGAAGGAATGATCCAAAGATGGGCTGGTCCCATAAAGCCCTGAAGCATACGACTCCGAAACCCTACAGCAGTGCCTGCATCCGGCCCGCTCTCTTTGCTTCTCTGCTTCCAGCCGCTTCTGTAAAAGCTGCTGGGCTGCTCACTTTGGCCAATCTGTCCTTGGCTGCCCCGAAGGCATTTGGATTCGAGGTCACCCAGGCCTGTAATTCGGCGATAGTGCGACAATAGCATAGCTCCTCCATGAGCAACCCTAGGTGCTGAGAGAACTGGACCCCAAAAGGTGAACACATTCTGTAGCCCCAAACGGGTGACATGTTACCTAGATAGCTACGGTGGTATCCTTTGCGAGCGATCTTAAGCCCAGCGGTGATTCCTGCCTTCATGCACTGGACCTGAGGAGTCCGAGCACTAAACCCTGCTCGAAAGTTCAATGCCAGTTATATATGGGTGGTTGTCAAAATTAGGGCACCTTTTTTCGTCCCCAACATAATACGGCACCTAATATTTAGGGTGCCCAATTAGGGACCCTAAATTTGAAAACCACCCATATAAGCGCTGTAATACTTGTGATTACATGAACCGGGTTTGCCAGCGGTTATGCCTACTTAACTTACACCTATGACAAGTACAAGCACCCCATTGACTAAGCCCCCTGGTATCCCCTGATCAGGTGTCGTTGTCAACAGCCCCCAAGATTCGTTATATTTAGGGCATTTTAGGGCTGTGTCAGAGGGGAATCCAAAATCATCCCAAAGCGAAACCTACCTATACTCTCTATTGTAGTTCCTTTTCAATTTAGCAATGTAGGATCCTAGAAGGTAACCCAAAAAAGGAACTACAAAGGAGACTGTAGGTAGCTCGACTTGACCTGAAACGCGCGTGCTCGAGCTTGAGGGGTTTGGAGGGGATTTAGGGATTAAGGTTAAGGGGTTTAGTGTTCCGTGGATTGAGTGTCCGGTTTCGTACAGCTTGCAGGACAGCTTCGGTCGGCCTCCTCCCAGCGAATTAATAAATTTACCATCTTGAGGTCTAGGGAGGTCGGTTTTCACTCGACTAAGGGTTTCGACCCTCACACTCGCACCAGGCAGGCAAGGCTCCAAATAGGGTACCCAAACCATCGTGCTACTTGTGCTGGGGTCTCCCTTTCGTAACTAATCAAGATTCAAGGTTCCGGTGGAGACCGTTTTATAGCCAGCCAGGTGGTTGGTGTTGGTGTTGAAGGTGTAGCGTTTTGTTGATGAAAATGTGGTTGGGACGGTCTCCAGGTTCCAGGGTTTATAGATTTGGGGTCGGTTGGAATCATATATAAGCAGTGATATTAGTGTTCAGCAATAACCTTGACAGTAACAATGATAACAATAATAAACTCTATGAACGTATACCTGAATCAGCAGTCAAAATTCGTCCAACTTGCTGAGGCTCTTCACATCTTTGGAAACCCCTGCGTCCCCATCCTCAATAAATAGGCTAGAATAAGTAGACTTTTGGGCTCCGGGATATTACACAATAGAACATACACGTTCCGACCCCTGCAACCCTAAACTCCTCAACCCCGGCGGCTAAACCATAAGCTCTACGCCCCTACACCCTTAATGCCCCCAGGCAGCTGCTAAGTCATCCACCGCGGAATTCTTTCGCGCCTGCCCGGCGTTCTACTATTTATGAGTTCCTGAGGCTCCGGTTCAATGCATATCCATTCGGGGCTATTGTCTACTGCAGCCCCGAAGAAGGCTTGGGTGGTGTTGAGACATGACAAGTTTAAAATTGCAGAATGCAGATGACGCGACAAGGCTTTGTGGAGCTACTCGGAATAGCGAGATGTAAAGGCAATGTAGGGGCCTTTAATGTGTTATGCCGAGGCTTTGGCATGTAACGTGGCATTAAGATGTTCGAACTACAAGGGATTCAAAGCCGAGACTGCTTCCACAGTGACTGTTGTGCAGCATCTGCTCCGTGAAACATGCTCCAGACTGGCCGAACTTTCTATTCTACAGGTCAGGGTGCATGAGGTGAAAGGTGGGTTCTGGGTTGTTGAAAGGCCAGAACTATCCAGAATTGCTATACACAAGGGCAAGACGGACACATGTGGGGAAACCATATGGTACATTATTCATATAACACAATACAAAAGAACGTAATACATATACGTATATTTGTTCCACCACAGGTAGTTGATTGATGTAGAGGTGGTGGTGGTGGTGGTGGGGGGCCTACTCCGTATGTCTCAAACCCCCAAAAACCCTACACCGCTGTAAAACCGCGGGGGCCTCCAAAAGAAAAGAAACTAACGTGTCAGCTACCCAGCAACCCACACCCTAAACCCTAAAACCCTATAAACCAATGACACTAAAACCCTAAATCCTAAACCTATGTCCTGGGCAAGATCCCTCGCCTTCTGCTTCGCAGTGCGCTTTCGGACTTTCTGCTGCTTCTTGACCACAGCCTCCCAGGGTGTGTGTAAAGGGGCTGGGGTGTAGGGTTTAGGGTTTAGGATCAAGGCAAAAGTTTTCTTGACCGACTTCTGAACCCCTCCTAAAAGTTAAACTTTTGGCCTCCTTATTATAGTTCATATAGAAACCCAAAAAGTTAAAGTCTAAAGAGCCAACCAGGAGAACACCAAGTTTTGTCTTGGTTTGTCTGGAGCTTCGCGTCTAGCGGGGCGTAACTTGGGTTCAACATCAGGCTGGAGAAGCTACCGTCTCAGTGTGTCAGGTCTGTTTGGGCTGTTCTTTTGGGGGAGTGGGGTCATGAACACCTCGGGCCTATAAAAAACCTAACCCTAAAGCCTATAGAGTGGGATGTCTTGGCCTCCAAATGCTACGGCCCATGCACCCAAGGCCCGAAACCTAATTGGTGTGCGACCCCCCCTCTCGCCACCACCCCGCTCAAACAATTAAGGCGTAATCCCCATAGCTTTTCCTGGAAGCACTGGACCTGGAACCCTAAACTCGAAACATCCCGAAACCATAAACCCCAAGCCCCCAAGCCCTGAATCCTAAATTTGGAAGGAACTGGGCCCTGCGCGCTTAAGCTTAACCAACCCGCTGCTCTAGCCTTGCTGCTCTTGCCAGGCACTCTCCTTCTGCCTTTCAGTCCTGATGGCATGTTGAGTTTAGGTTCTTGGGTGGTTTAGGGTTTAGGGTTGAGGGTCCAGATAATCAGAAGTTTCGGGGCGTATGCTTATGCATAAAGAGTATCTGGGGACGGTTTTACTTGGTCATTCCAGTTACTTGAAAAATTGAAGGTGCAGATAGGGAAAGCACCATGAACCTTCAGGCAGCAAAGCGCACATCCCAAGTCGTTTCTTATCTAGCCTAGGGTGTTGGAGGTGTGACGTTTTGGGCGTAATACAGGGGCCTGAAAAATTAGAATAGGGTTTTTGGGCCCATTTTTTGCTTCCACTGCACTGAGCCCGAAGTCTGAAGTATCAGGAATCCCCAAAATAGTACAGGTAATTCTTAAGGCCCCTATACTACCCAGGTTGCAGCTCCAGGGTTGACCTGAGGTTGATGGGACCTCAGGGGCTGAGTATCGAAGCCCCAAGAAAGGTTAACTTCTTCAACTGTGGTACCTATAGTCTCTATTGTAGTTCCTTTTTTTGGTTGACCAAAAACTCCATTATAGGATCCTAACCATAAAACTGGTTAACCCAAAAAAAGGAACTACAATGGAGACTATAGGTAGAATTATATAAACCCAAAAGGTTAAAGCCTGATATAGGGGCCTTCACAAAAACACTGGGGTTCTTTGCGCTGTATATAGCATGACTATCTGGAGGAATCCCGAGCAACAACAGCTGACGCAATGATTGAGGGATGTAATCAGTTTAATCGCTTCCCCTGAACATTCAACCCACCCCTAATATAAAAACTGCCGGCCCCGGGAATTTCGCGGGTTCGGGCCCCGCATTCAATTTAAAGGGGGCAACATTAGGGGGGGTGGCAGATCTGTATGTGTTTTAATTGAAGGAAGACTACCGTAATACTAAAGACACCAGAGCTTTAGGGTTTAAGGGGCTAAAGCTTTAGGGCTCAGGACTTTATAGAGCCAAAGATTACACCTGTACTAAAGACACCAGAGCTTTAGGTTTAAGGGTTTAGGGCTCAGGGCTAAAGCGTTAGGGCTTGGGGCTTTAGGGCTTAAAGTTTAGGGCTCAGGGCTTTAGGGTCTAGGGCTGGAGGCTTAGGGCTTAGGGCTTTAGTAGGGCTCCAGGCTTAGGATAGCTAGCAGCTGGGAGTCCGGGTACGTGGATGCACCGAACCGAACCCCCCCCTAATATAAAAACTAAACCTCCGAAATCCAGTTTTTATATTAGGGAGGGGGGGGAGCGGTTTAATATTAGGGGGAAGGGATTACTGAGCAACAAAAAGCAAAGAGTAAGAACCACAGATGATGACAATAACGATAATCAGTAAGCATTTCACGACGAAGAAAACGCAGGTCACAAACATACTGACCTACAACGGAAACTTTCTTATAATTCTCAATGGCCATCATGGGTTTAGGGACCCTAAACCCTAAACCCCTAAACCCTAAAGATAACACGCCCCTCCCGAACAAAAATGGGCCTTTGCTCTTCCCCGGCTTGGCTGCCCTGGCCATCGCGTGGCGAAAAGCCCCTTCTTGGACCAAAGCGGCTGGGCTGTGTTGGGTATTTGTCCCTTAGCTTAGGGTTTCCACTCGCACACTCGCGCAAGGCAGGCACGGCTTCATCAGCTCTCGATGCTTGGCATAGGGTTTAGGGTTTGGGGGCTTACGGTTTAGGGTTTCTTCGTTGCAGGGGCTGTGTTTTAGGGTTTAGGGTACACGGCTTAGAGTTTCGGGTCAACCCTCTTCTTCTGAAGGACGTGGGGCCAAGGCTGCATGGCTATTTGGGTCAGGGTCTGGGATTCCACGGGAATCGACGGAGAACGTCTAAGGTGTAGGGTAAATGGCTTGGGTCGGGGGACTTAGTAACTGGGTATTTTATTAGGGACTTATATGTACCATAACCCAGTTAGGGTCCCTTTTAGGGTACTTATAATTATAACTCTACTTACTAACTACTTACTAAGCCCCCCGACCCCCCAAGTAGGTTACAGCAGGCGGCAAAGTCAAACAAGGCTTGCACAGCAAGTGATTTGCTTGGTCCATGCAGCATTGATGCTGACGAGGGTGAAACTGCACGATGTGTGCACAATCGAAGAACGGCATGCCGTGGCGCAGCACTTATTCGCAACTAAGTGCTGAAGGCTTCGCATATACAAATGGTCTGATGCTGTGCCGCAGCTCTTTTTGGCAAGCTAATATGTAAGCATTATGTAAGCTACTAAAGGCTGTGAAGATAGAGATGGTATGATACAGTGCCGCAGCACTTGCTCGCAAGCTCAAGGCTAAAGGCGATACAGGTCTGATTCTGTGCGGCAACACTTATTCGCAAGCTGGGGTTAATCGATGTGCAGACACAGATGGTCTATGGTGGTCTGATAACGTGCCGCATTTCTTCGCCGGCTAAGCGATGAAGGCTGCGCAGATACAGATGGCTTGATGCAATGCCGCAGCACTTCTTCGCAAGCTAGGCGCGAAAGGCTGAGCAGATACATATGGTCTGATGCAGTGCCGCAGCACTTATTCGCAAGCTAGGCGCTAGTGTCTGTTAAAGCCTCAGTGGCGCGGCCGCGAATGCCGCTCAATTCCACATAGCAGCCGGGCCAGGATGGCAGCAGCTCTCGTTAAATTCGACACACGAATACGTAGAGCACCCGCGAGGCACCTTGTACAAGACTCACGTCACTGCCAGCATGACAAACACTTCTATATAGCTGTGAGAGAGCCCGAAATCCTAATATGGGGGCCTTAACGATTAGAATAGGTTTTGGTGCCCATTATACTATGATTCTGATAAGGAGGTTTGGTACTATAGGGTTCCGCTTCTTCGACAGTCTTTGCAGCCAGCATCGCCCCGCAAGACAACACCCCAAACCCCAAACGCCGAAAGTCACTCGAGACCCGCTCGCGTTGCAAGCCAGGAAACCGCTCCGCTGACGACGTGACCATTCTTCTCATGGCAGCTCCCTGATCCCTTTCGCAAGAAGAGTCTGCAGCCAGGGCCGGGGGTGTTGCTTCGAGGTGTATTTGAACTTGGGTTCTTTATCGGCATGTTGGAGAGTTGAGGATTCCAGTCGCAAACAAGTTCATCAGCATTAAGTACCACTGTTCTTCTTCGTACTTTAACGGCAGTGTCAAAAACTCATTTACGGTGAGGTGTAGGCTTGCGGGAGAGCAGTCTTTACTCTCCTGATGTGAATAAACACGGTTCAAAATGCTATACAGGTCCCAAATGCCTCTGTCCCAAGATTCTGTGAGATGAGCTAACAATGGCCCTGCAGATATTGTCGATCACCAGACACCGGAAATGCAGTGCTAGCTGAAGGCTATTGACGAGAGCTCTACGTCATGCATAGGCTCTGTGTGGGGGTGGGGGTTTGATTCGGCTTCGATGTCGGAGACTTTCGTTCCGCTTACTAGTCCTTCATGACTGCCGAAGCGCAAACCCAAAGGCTCCAAAGAACCTACACAACAGAATGTAGGGTTTCTATATCATGACTTACTATGATGATTTGGGGAAGTATCCCTCAGAGCAGTACCTGGGGGACCCTTTGGGGAAGAAGCCTTTTAGCCCGAAGGCACACCCCTCGACTGGAAGTCACAAACTCTCAGAGTCGAAGGATTTAGGCACCCTTGGAAACAATAGACAGAGCCCTATACCTTTACCCCTTAGTAGGAATTATTTAAGAAGGTCTACTAGCCGGTCTGTTTATTTTTTGGGGGGGAACCATGAAAAAGGACAAGGCTGGATTTAGGGTTTAGGGATAAGGGGACTCCAGGTACATAAGTATCGGTCTGCTGGTTAAAGAATATACCTTAAATTATATAGAGGCCTTACTATCGTGATTTTCGGTAGATTCCTCAATTACGTAAGGGGTATTGGGATCTCTGGGTTACATGCTAATTTAGGCAACTGCGTCCGGAAACACTGCTAACTAGCCGTCAGGGCGTGGGAAAACGGACGTTGGTCATGACTATACTACAGTTATAATTAGGGTAACTATACTTATAACCCCAATTAGGGTACTTATAACCTTACTTACTAAGTCCCATGATCCTCCATACGATTTACGAGCGAACCATCCTCGAGGTTGCAGCTGACATGCGGCTGGTCTTAAGCCCATTTTTGCTGCAGGCTTGCACGCAAGGACGGACGCCTGGTAGTAAACCCTGAACGCCCTAAATCCTAAACCCCAAACCCTTAAAAACCTTAAGCCGCACGTTGCCAGCTTACCCGCCTTGTGGCCGATTTTTGTCACGTTGATGGTGGCCCAGAAATCGTCGATAATGAACGAGAAGAGGCCACGATTTTGGCTGAAGCAAGCGGGAGGCTTCCGAGTGTATTATAGGAGCCTTACTAGTTAGAATAGGGTTCCTTCAAAGGGCATTATAAGGGTTCCTTCAAGGGTTCTAATATAGGGGCCTTTATAATAAGAGTAGGGTTTTGGGCCCATGACTTATAATGAAGGAACCCCCCAAAATAGTATAGATAATTACAATTAGGCCCATATATTACCGAAATCAATCACTTGCTTCTACGGGTTTAACGGGTACCTGCAGCAGCCAAACCTACCTCTTGAGGAACTGCAGGGTCCCAGTATGCCCGTTCAGGAAAAGAGTCCCAACCTACAGTTTGTATCATGTTGATGCTTAGACGGACAGTTGAGGACTTCAATCTTCGTGTCTTGAAGCATGCTTGAAACTGTGCATGGCATAAAGATGCCTGAAGCACAGGCGCATGAAGGGGCAGATCAAATTCCCAAAACCCCTAGTCCTGAACCCTTAACGCTGTGAACCCCGAAGCCAGACTCCACATCCCATCCTGGCCTCCAACCTCCCACTCCTCCCCCCCCCCGGCCACCCCCCGTCCCCCTACAGCCCTCCAAGATCCTCCACCCACAATTGGCGAGGAAAACACCGTAACTGTGAACAAACACATCCCCCGTGCACCCTAAACCATCGATTCGAGTTTAGGATGCATAGGGTCTGGCGTTTCAAACCCCACCCTAACCCCAAATAACATATTTTGTACATGACCTTTGTACATGACTCATTTCAGGATTTCTTAGCAAGGGGTCCTCAAAAACGCTTCTAAGGGTCCAGTAAACCTTAAGCCCCTAACCCCAACCTGAGCCGCAAGTTTCAATCTTTAAAGCCTACAGCTGCACGTAATCCTAGCTTGAAGCCCTAAACCCTTAACCCTAACCTTAGCCGCCAAAACCCCATAAACCCTAAATCATGAACCCTCACCTTCAACCCTAACCTCAGACCTTAGCCTTAAACCCTAAACCCCAAATCCTAACCCTAAGCCCTCAAACCCGAGCCTCCCCTCAGGCGGCTCGGTCTTGACGTTCTTGAGGATCTGGAGATCCCCGTCGAACTCTCTGACTAAGACGTCGAAGTAGGTCCTGGGCCCCTCAACCCTAATCCAGGGCTCGCTTGGTTTAGGATTATATAGCGTTTAGGTTCGGTTTAGTGTTCAGGACTAAACCCCTTAGAAGTTAAATATTCTCTTGGGGTTTAACTGAACAAAATAGGCTATTTACGGCAGTTTAGGGGAAGCCGAAACCACAGAAAGTAGACATGTCACTAAGATCGAGCAAGGATCAGCAGGGCACCTTTGTGGCCGTCTAGGGCTGACAGCCATTGCTTCAGCGCCGCCTCAGTGCAAGTCAAGCAGAGAAACTCGGGAACTAGCTGCGTATAGACTATTTTTTTTTTTGAAAGCTCTTTTGCGCCTGCACGAAGGTTCGGCCTATTAGGGTTTAGGGTTTATGGGTTTAGGGATTAGGGTTTAGGGTGTAGACCTAATTACCCAAAGGCTCCATGTACCCATATAGTAAGTACTTAGGACTTTGAACTGTCTATAGTGGCCCCTTTAAGGCCTAGGTACCTACTATATGGGTACATGGAGCCTTCGGGTAATGTTCTTTCAAATCTGTGTTCGTAGTTTCGTATGGCCCCTCATTGGATGCCCAGGTTCAGGTCTTGGACCCAGTTTTTCAGGGAGAATGGTATATTACAACGACCTTCGAGTTTAGCTCGCTGAGGTGCAAAGGTGTAGGAGCCAGGGCTTTGCTTAAAAGCTTACGGGGCAAGTCTGTCGTGTTCAGGTAGGTCGGGAGGCCCAGGTAGGTGTTGTAGCACAGGCGAATATTATGGTACGTCGTACTCAAAAAGTCCATACCAATAACGGTCCGAAGTGCTGCAAATCCTGTAACAAATTGGCCAAGAACGCCAAGAACATATAGTGGAAGGTTCAACAATGTTTTCGGTTTCAACAGTAACACGAACAATAGTTCTTGTCCAACCCAAGAACCAAACCTCTTCAGACACGCACCCCCGTGAAGGAGGATCAGAACAAGCGGATCCCTTGAGAGAACCTGGTCCGAAATGGTCGGTTCCTCATTGCAGAGACCAGCAAAACTAAATCCCTCGTTTGCTTCGAACCCCAGTCACCCATCCAATGGGCTACACACCCGAATCCTGTAGGGAATGACAGCAACTTGCTATGC